ACTTTGCTGGGTGAAGTATTCTTGGCAGTTTTTTTCTTTTGGCACTTTGAAGATAACATCCCCCCCTCTCCTGGCCTGCAAGATTTCTGCTAAGAAAACTATTGATTGCCTTATGGGAGTACCCTTTTATGTGAGTAGTCTTTTTTTTCTCTTTCTCCTGCTACTTTTAAAATGTCTTTGTGTTTGATTTTAAACAGTTTTATTATAATGTGCCTTGGAATGGATAATATTGTGTTGAAATTTTGAGGGAAGCTATAAACGTCATGCACTTAGGTATCCAAATCTCACCCCAAATTCGGGAAGTTATTATTGCCTTAAATAAGCTGTCTGCCTCCTCCTCCTTCTCATCTCCTTCTGGGACTCCACAGTTCATGTAGGTTTTCTTCACTCTGTTTCATTCTTTTTTCTTTATTCTCCTCTGACTGGATAATATTTAAAGACCTGTGTTCTACTTAACATATACTTTCTTCTGCTTAATTCAGTCTGCTGTTGATGCCCTCTATTGCATTTTTTTTATTTCATTCATTGTATTCTTCAGCTCCACAGTTTCTGTTTGGTTCTTTTTTAATTATTTGTCTTAACTTCTGTATTAAACTCCTCATTCTGTTCATCTGTTTTCTCCTGATTTCACTGAATTGTCTTTTGTGTCTTCTTGTACCTTACAGAGCTTCCTTAAAACAACTATCTTGAATTCTTTATCCAGGAAATTGTAGAGCTACATTTCTTTGTGGTTAGATACTAGAATACTATTGTGTTCCTTTGCTGGTGTCACATTTCCTTGATTTTTCATGTTCCTTGAAGTCTTACATCACTGTCTTCACATTTAAAGAATCAGTTACCTCCTCCAGTCTTCAGACTTACTCTGGGAGAGGTATACCTTCTATCAGGCCTATCAGGGAATCTAATACTATCTCAGATATTTTCTAAGGATACACTTGCTCCACACTTCTTATTCCCTCTTGAGGGTGAATTCTTAAGATGTATGCCTTCTCTCAGTCCTGCAAAGTCAGGCCTGGTGCTGCGAGCCTCTTGTCCACTTTCCCTATGGCAGTGCTGAATGCTCATGTTTGTGTGCTTTCTCCCAAACACAGAGTTAAGCCAAATCTTTGCACAAGTTTTAGCCATCTGCAAAAGTTCACCTCACTGTCCTCACACTCAGGGACACACACAGGAAGCCAGCCATGGGGTTGGGAGAGATGTGGCTAAGGCACTGGGAATGCCTATGGGCAAACTGGGAGGATCTGCAGATGAGGCATCCCCAGCAGCTGTAGACAGGATTTCTGACAGAGGCAGAGAAGCAGTTAGCAGAAACAACATCTCTTTAATATGTTCCATTCTGAGCCCTGACTGCTCTTCTCCCAGCCACTCACTGCCTCCCAGTCATGAAATTCACAAACCAGTATTGGATGGGGTGAGAAAGAAATTGGTCGCACACAGCTGGGACAGCCAGGCACTTAGATGCTCTCACTTCCCTCCATGGGAGAAATCATGGGCTGAGATGGTTGGTCTTGGCATTGAGCTGTGCCACCTTGGGAGAGGAGTGATATGGGTAAAGTGAAACTATTCTTCTTACATGCTTCAGTGTGTTCGATCAGAGAGGGGTTTTTATTGCCCTAATGGTGTGCTGGAACTTCTCTGCTGGACTCCCAAACTTCTACAAAGGCACCTCATCTGTGAGTGGCTGTCAAAACAAGTACTCTTTGGGGAAAGATGGTAGAAAACTCTCCCCCCACCATTTTGATCTCAAGAGTTTTTAAAGCACTGTTTGGGTCAGCTGAAATAAGACATAGAAAAATTAAATAAATCATGGAAAACTGACATTGAGCTTGAGGAAGAAAATTTACCTTGATGGATTTCTTTGGTAACACTGCCACCAAAATGTAAAACTGTTATTACTAATTTTAAGTTTGAGGAACAGTAGTTCCAAAAACCACTGTAATAACCTATCTCTATCATAGGTCAAAACACTGCAAAGGAAAAAAACAACACTTGTTTTTTCCATTCAACATTCTTTTATTTCTACTTTAGGGCTCAAGAACTTGAATATGCATAGAAATGGATGGTAGTGGTTGTTCCACATTATCAGTATATTTAATACCACTGAAATATATACTTTGAAATGGTTAAGTTGATAAATTTTATGTTACATATATTTTATCACAATTTAAAAAAACAACTTGAGTGTGATGGAGAGAAGTATAAATACAAGTATTCCATAACAAACAATTTGTCAACCACCCAAGGTCTTTATTCTTCATCTAACACACTATAACTTAAATGAGGTTTAGTCACTTTGAAGGATAAGTAGCAGTCATTATTCCCTAATATTTAAGCTTATCTTCTCATCACAATGAAAACACAAAACCACCCCTTTTTCTGGGTAGGGAATTCCCAAACAGATTCTCTCAACAGTTAAATTTCCACACTACCAGCCCACTGAAACTTTCAAAAAAGTATTTGTCTGAATTCAGGTATTCCCTATGGGAATGCCCAATGTATTCTGACAGGGAAGATGAACTAAAAATGTTCTGAAGGCCTCAGCCAGGGACTGTATGAAGGAGCAAACAACAGACCAAGAAAACAGTTCTAAGCAAAACATAATGGAGTCACTATGTCAGAACTGGGAAACTCAATTTATAAAAAAGAGAGTGCAAGGAGCTCCTAGCAAAGGACTTGGTGACAAAGAGGGTGGAGACTGCAAATTCTCTGACCCTGCAAGCAGACACAGGATTTGCAAAAAGTGATCTTCAAGAAATGCCTTACTCTCTAGATCACAGAAATACGAGAAATCTGAAACATTTCCACAGCAAATAATTCTTGCTTTTATTGCTATAAAGATCTTGATGAGAATAAAACAGCAAAATTCTACGAAGCTCACAGAGCAAAGATCAGTTCCAGCCATGTAATACAGAAGGAATGTGAGGAGCAAGCAGTTCCGTGAATACTATTTAGGAACCTACAGGGGAGCACAGAGAGGAAGAGCCCCAAATAACTACTGAGTTAAGACGACTGCAGGATAACAAGACTTCCTATATTACAGGATCTGATAAGGACTCTGAAAGTGAGGCCATTTTAGATACAGAGTGCACACAAGCTGGAACTAAGTCATTGGTAAGAAATGCCGACACAGGAAATCTTCTGTATCCCCACCAGGTCAGCAGTTGTTAGCCATAGGGGAGCAGGGTCTGTTCAGGCCATTACATCAGTGATGGGTTCAACATCAAAGAAGCAAGCTTGGTTCGCTTACACTGACTAGAATAACTAGAATCCAGGAAAACTCTGTACAGAGTGAATGAGATTAGAACTTGTTACATTATCTTTTATAATCTTTAATGCACTATCAAAAACAGCAGAGAATCTTATCTACTTGGTATGAAAATGAAGAGGACAATTTAGCCATGGTGGTGAGGTACACATTGGGCTGGCATGCATACTCACTTCGATTGTATTGCCTCTTCCTCTACCTGAGAATCATGAACCTTACACATAACTGCAGGGACATATAGCCCTAGGCCACATCAAAAGACAGGAAATTGACTGCTAATTCTACAGAAAACCTTAGCCCTATAGCTTTAACTAGTATGTCTTCTTTCTATGTACTTAACCAGGTTCTTGGTATTTCTGGGTGTGCATTAGGTAGACTAGAATCTAACCAAGAGTGTGTTTATGCAAATTTATTTTCTACATATTTGAAATATTTCATAAAGAAATTAGTTCACACGTGTGAGAAATTGCACATGTAACCAATAGCTTGTGACCTTTTATTAATAAAGCCACTAGAAACCTAGATCTCTATTATCATATGAATGGCAGTTTGTCCTATTTACAATAGAAATATATCTCCAATTTTTTTTATTTAAGTATAGTTGATACACAATATTATATTGGTTTCAAGTATACAACACAGTGGTTCTACAGTTACACACACTATTAAACCCTCACCCCAATCCAACTTTTTGAATTCAAAAACATTTCATGAGTGGGTTACCACTTTTGTATTTATATAAATAAATACATTATTGATGCTTTGTGTATTGTCATTCACTGTAAACTCCATGAGTACTTTTTGTCAAAGTAAAAAAGCAAATAGCTCATTATCATCAAAAATATTTTAGATAAAAGTAATAAAGGAATTGACCGTGAATTGGGAATGCCTATGGGTAGATTGGGAGGTAGTGACTCATAGTGACACAGCTAGAACTAAGCTTCACACCTTCTTGGCCCTGCTGCAGGGCTGTCCCTTCTAGACCATGCCACCTTTATCGTTAGCTTCACAATCTATCTTCACTTATACAGACAAGCAGATGAGCATCTTTTTCCAGGTTGACCACAGAAGGGTATAATCCAAGGCATGGTCTTGAGCCAGGCTGGGGTGTCCCCTCCCCCAACAACAACACACATGGTGAGACTTATTTGGACAGGTGTTGCCAACATCTAACGGAGGGCTAATGTGTGCAGGATGGGACAATATATGGAATCAATTCTTCTGAGAAGTTGGCTTGTGAAAGGAAGCAAAGGGAAGGAGATAGTAGCTAGGAGGGGAGCTGCAATCAAGAGAAGGCCTGTGTTTGTGTTTTAAGAATAGGAGACAATAGAGCCTAGATGTGTGGTGATAAGATCAAGGAGAGAAGAGAGCAATAATTCAAAAAGAGACAATACAAGGACTGAAAGAAAGTGGGCAAGATTGCAAGAGGGATGAGACAGGAGGCTAGGCTGCGGGAACAGCAGGTCTGTAGATAGGTGAAGTGATGAAGGACCATCTCTCACCCAGCAGTTCACCTTGTTTAGTGTAGCCATGACAGCCATGACTGCCAGCAGGTGTGTGATGCACAAATCCATGAAATTGGTCTAAAGGAAAAAATACACCAAATCAAGAGAGAATGAGAACTGAAGGACAGGGCACTGCCCTCTGAAAGGCTGAGGGGAAAAATAGGATAAAATTATGAAGAATCTTCATCCAATGTATTATTTTTTTTTATGTTTTTCTTTTCAACTTTCAGGTGGTTTTTGCTCTTACAGACTTTGTAATAGAAAATCTTGGAAAACGCTTTATAGAGACCCCACCTGTGGACCTGCCTACTCTGTATCAAGACATGTCATGCAGTACTCCCCTGGTATTTATCTTAAGCACAGGCTCCGATCCCATGGGTGCATTTCAGAGGTTTGCCCGAGACAGCGGGTTTTCAGAACGGTAAGGTCTCATTGTGCAGTTTTAATAATTCATATGAACATCTCCTTGTTAAAGTTTGCCCTTTTTTCTTCCTTCTGTGGAATGTGAATTCCTACATTCAGGTACCCCTTACTAAATAAATTAAGATATATTAATACATAGCTATATATGTTGTTAAAATGTTAAAAATCCTAAAAGCAGATAGAAATTTCACTCAAGCAAAGGGGGAGATTGTTTAAAATGTTAAAGGATAATAATTTAGTGAACTACTGATTCAACCTTGTTATTTAAGACATTACTTTAATATAACTGTAAAAAGACTGTAGTTTACTCCCTATACTCAAATGTGCAAAAAAAATTCATAGTTTTATGAATTTCACAGTTTCTGTTGAATGATTAATCTCATCTTTCTATCTGCCTCTACTCTGCTGGGTAAGAGAAGCAAGGAAGAAGTTTAAACGTGCACATTTACATTATTAGATTTTCTTCTGATTTAAATGTCTCCAGAGTAAGATGATTTGGTTTCTTTTTCATAAAAGCTCAGTCTTCCTGACTTCTCCTCCTCTCCAAGATGGTGTCCAGATGGGTGGGAAAGTGCATGAGAGCGCAGGGTGGCAGGGGAAAGTAGGGGCATCGTATCTGTGAGGTAACCTCCGGCCCTGACAGGCCCCTGCACGGGGTGACTGGTCAAAGTAAAAAAGCAAATAGCTCATATCATCAAAAATATTTTAGACTGCAGATTACAAGATGATGAATCCTGTCTGTTCATTTGGAGCTTATAGTCTGTATTAGTCAGGCTTCTCCAGAAAAACAGAACCAATAGGATATAAGTATAAATATATAAGAAACTGGCTTACATGATTACGGAGGCTGACAAGTCCCAAGTCTGCAGTCAGCAGGCTGGAAACCGAGGAGTGACAATGTGTAGCTCCAGTCCAAGTCCAAAGAACTGAAAACCAGGAGAACTAATGGCGTTAAGTTCTGTTCAGAAAGCCAGCAAGCTCAAGACCTAAGAAGAGCCAATGTTTCTGTCTGAATCCAAAGGCCCAGCTCAACCAGTCAGGCAGGAGGAGCTGCCTCTTACTTAGGCTTTTTGTTCTATTCAGGTCTTCAGTTGATTGCATGGGCCCATCCATGGTAAGGAGAGCAATCTGCTTTACCAAGTCTGCTGGTTCAAATGTTAACCTCATCCAGAACCTCCTGCACGGACTCATCCAGAATAATGTTTGGCCATTTGTCTAGGCACCAAGTGATCCAGTCAAATCAACACATAAAATTAACAATCATATGGTCTCAGACATTTGCCTTTGGTTCTGAAGTCCTAACAAAGGCAGTATACAGAACAATTAAGAACTCCTGTGAATTAATAAGAAAAAGAAAACAATCCAGTAGGAATAAAGACAAAAAATATTAACAGGAAATTCTCAGAAAAGAGAACCTAAAGGCTTGATTAGCATATGAAAACATGTCCAACCTCACTAGCAGTTAAAAACAACAAATTAAAACCAGAGAGATACCATTTCTTACCCATCAAATTGGAAAAATAGTGGCAAAGATGTGGAGCTATGGAAACATCCACATTGCAAGTGGGGGTGAAAATTTGGTTAAAATCACTTTGAAGAGAAATTGGCAGTTAAAGATGGCACCACCCCAAATCCCAACAATTCATTACTGAATTTGCATCCCAGAAAAAAAATCAGTCATATGTGTGCAAGGAGCCATTTTCAAGAACATTCATTGAAACATTGTTCATAATGACCAAAAAAAATGGAAACAATCAAAATGCCCATTTGGAAAAATTATTATATAAACTGTGGTATATTCATAAAAGTAAATACAACTAGCCATGAAACTGAATAAACTAGAACTATGTGTATCAAAATGGATGATTCACACAAACTCATATTGAGCAAAAAAAATTAAGTTATAGAAAAACTATATAATATTGGAGAAGTGTGATAAAATGCTTAAAAATTTTAAACATATATTGTTTAGCAATTCATATTTTTGCAATTAACAGTTACAAAGAAAGGTAGGGAAATTATACCAAAACCAAGATAGCAGTGACCTTGGGGAGTGAAGGCTGGTTAATGAGGGCACACTGCTTGCTCAGATCATGTAGATAATGTTTTATTTCTTAAGCTGGATTGTGGGTAAATGGATATGCATTATATTAACTTTATAACTTTTATATGTCTTAAATATTTCACAGTAACTATTAAAGGTAAAGAATTCAATATAACAATCAGAAAAGAAGAAGGATGTAAATAGGTAGTTAATGTATGCTTAGTTCTTGATATATTCAGAAGGAAAAAAGAATAACTGTATTGCCTTAGGAAAATGTGTGGCTGAATGGGTATGTTGAAATTTTAAGGGAAAAAACTAAAATATAATCTATAGCTTCCAAACCTATAGAGAGATAAAAGAATATAAAGTGTAGATTTGGAACCCAACATTAGATAGGAAAGAAGAAAAATAAAATCAAAGATAAAACAATAAACCAAAAAGTGAAGCCAAAGAATAGAAAGTAATCCAAATGCCTAAATAAGTATAAATATTTCACTTATGAAAAGGTAAAGATGATCAAATTGGATTTTGAAACAATATTCTGTTCTATGCTACCTGGAAAATGTGTATACAGTATAAAACAGAGAAGTTAGAAAGTAAAAAGATGCAAAAGATACTATACAAATACTAACCAAAAGAAAGCTGTTAACAATTTCAATGCATATCACAGAATAGAGTTTAAGGCAAATATAACTCCGGGAAAAGGAAATTCCAGGGCAAAATACCTCTAGAACCAAAATCAGTCAAAGGGAGAATAAAGTTTAAAACCTGTTTATTGCTTACAAACTGCAGTCCGGGGCCATCTCTTTCCTGCTCCAGCAGAAGCCCTCCCCCTAACTTCTCAGGCTCAGAGAAGCCGTTGGTTGCCCAGGTAATTACCCACTGATATGGAAATGAAATTCTCTCCACCCCTGAGGAACACCTATTGATCACTAAAGCCATACCTTTCTCCACCCCTTAGCAATGCCTGTTGATATGCAGATGTACTAAAGCCAGACAAGATAATTCTGGAATATTACAGTTTTACCCACAACATATTAAGGATAAAGAAGGAAACTATATGACATGTAAAAAAAGCCAACAAACAAGAAACATCAATTATAAATTTGTATGCCAACTAACAAAGCTTGAAATATATAAATTAAAAACTGGAGAAATTGGTAATTTAATGTAGAAATTCTTAACATATCTCTAATAGAAATTAATATGAAGCACACAAAAGTTGACAGATTGGTAAGGATACAGAATATTTAGACAATCAAATTAACCTCGATCTTTATTAAGCTCAACAAACATAGCAAATACAAGATATTCAGGCACACATGAAGCATTTATAAGAATTAACCACTGCTACAAAAGACACATATTTCAAAAAGAAGATAAATTTATTCTCTAACCACAATAAATCTTACAAATCAACCTCAAAAGTTAATTTTTTTTAATATATGGAAAAAAAGCCCTTTTGAATAACTCACGTGTTAGAGAAATCATAATGGAAATTTTCCAGTTAGTGGAATTAAATGACAAAAACAATATTACATGTCAAAAAACCATTGTGGTGTAGTAATGAGGGAGGCACTTAGGAGTAAATTTATGCATATTTAAAAACTTCTGGTTCCAGAAATATCAGACTAAGAACAACAGAAACCCTGGGCAAAATACATTTGAAGGTTTAGGGAATGAATAAGGTAGTTAAAAGAAGGAAACTCAAAACAATGAGCCCTGTACTCAGAGACATCAAAGGAGAATGCAAAGAGGCAGATAAACTGAGCAGAACTTTTGATTGATAAAGGGACAGAAGGAACAGAATTGGAGCCCAGCGCCAACTGAATAATAGAGCAAGCGGGTAAAACCCCTACTTTGGGTTCGTACTCTAAGGAGATTCACCTAAAAGGAATAGGACCGAGTAAGAAATAGACTACTTGCTGAAGAGGTTAAGATGACCCCTGACTACTAGTATCTCTAGCCACCTACTAGAAGAAAATGTAAATCTTGTCTGGAAGAACACAAAATCCTAGGTACAAAATTAAACATAACCAGGTACAAGAGAAGGCCAGAAAATATGTTTAAAAACCAAGAAAAACACTACACAATAATAACAGGGTACGAGTTATCCTGATAATGGATACATGAGACTGACTTTAAAGTAACAACATTTAAAATGTTCAAAGAAATGAAAAATTGAGAAAATTGACAGAGAGGTGGGATTATTCAAAAACAGAATTCTAGAATTGAAAATATAACTGAAGTTAAGAATTCAGTAGCTCAATTTGATGAGTAAAACACATGCAGACACTAAACAAAGGAGAAAACAGGAGAGTAAGAGACAGACAGCCGCAGTGATGAGATCTAGTAAGGTATGATTTGAGGCCCAGAGGAAAGAAGAGTGCAGAGTAACTAAAGAGTGGCTGAGAATTTTCCAAAACTGACATAGGACAGCAATCTGCAGATAAAATAAACCCTACCAAATGCCAAGCATAAGCAACACAAAAAAATTCTGCCTATAGCCATCACAGTAAATTGCAGAAAAAACAAAGAGAATATATTAAAAACAGATTAACTTCAAAGATGCAACAAGTATGGTGTTGACTGATTTCTCTGCATAAAAAATGAAAGCCAGGTAGTGTATGTTCATAAAACAGAAAGCAAGTTACTGTCTATATGGAATTGTATTCCTGTCAAAAATTCATTTTAAAATGAAACCAGGATTAAGCCAGTTTTAGACAAAAAAATTCAAATTCAAATTCAAAAAAATGCTAAACAGAGTAACAGTGAAAATATAACATCAGAAGTTGTTTGATGTACCTAAAGCTAGAATTAGAGAAAAATTAATAAGCTTAAACACATACATTAGACAAAAGGCAGTCCAAAACTTAATGATTAAATTCTGATAGAAGGAAAAAACAGTAAGCTAAGAAATTAATGACACAGAAGTCGTAAATTCAATAAATAAGATTCAAGAGATCAGAAGATGGTTTTGTGAAAAGTTTAGTAAAACATAAATTCTGATGAAACTACTGAGAGAGAGAAAAGTAGAATGCCAGAAACCTTGTATCATGAATAAAAAAGAGAATATCACTACAGATCAACAGACATGAAAATGATCATAAGAGTATATTATTAAAAAAAAACACTTCACCAGTGAATTGCAATGACATGGAAAAATTCCTCAAAAAATACAACATAAAAGGGATATCTAAATAGTCCAGCAATTTCTTAATTATTATTAAAAATCTTCCCCCAATGCTGGGTTATTCCAGGAATTCAATGATGGCTAAAATATTGAAAATAAATTAATGCAGTTTAACACATTAACAAAAAGGAAAAAAAATCCCTTAAATAAAGAAAAAAACAATTATCTCAGTAGATGCAGAAAAAGCATTTTTTAAAATTCAATATGCAAACATGGGGGAAGGAAGTCCTAGTAAACTAAAAATCTGGAAATAATTTCTTAGAAAGAAAAAAACAAATAGGACATTCTTTTACTGTGATAAAGGGTTTATCTTAAAAAATGTTAATGGAGTTAGCAAGATTACTGGACACAAAAACAGACTATATTAATGCATACTAGCAATAGAAACTCATTCATTGCTAGTAGGAATGCAAAGTAGTCCATACACTGTGGAAGACAGTTTGGTGTTTTCTTACAATACTAAACATACTTTTACCATATAATCCAGAAATCACACTCCTTGGTATTTACTTAAAGATATTAAAAAATTATGTCCACACAAAAACCTGCACATGGATGTTTATAGCACCTGACTCATAATCATCAAAACTTGGAAGTAAGCAAGATGTCCTTTAATAGGTCCATGGGTAAATAAACTGTGGTATAGCCATGTAAAGGAATGTTATTCAGCACTGAAAAGAAATGCAAAGACATAGAGGAACCTTTTCAAGTCATGAAAAGACAAGAAGGAAACTTAAATGCATATTACTAAGTGAATGAAGCCAGTCTGCAAAGGCTACATACGGTATGATTGCAACTATATGACATTCTGAAAGAGGCAAAACAATGGGGACAGTAAAAAGATAACAAAGTGTTTATATCCAATATAAAGACCTCTTAAAAATCAATAAGAAAAAGATGACCCAATAGGGAAAGAAAAGGGAGGGAGGGAAGGGAACAAAGGGAATAGCCAAGTGGCCAATAAATAAACCTATGAGAAGGGGAAACAATTTAAAGTCTCAAAGAGATACCACTATACATCCACCACCACCCACTATACCTACCCTTGTTAGCAAGGATATGGAGAAGTAAGTATACTTACTGACAGCTGGTGGAAATGGAATGGTGACATCACTGTGGAAAACAGTTTGATATCATAAAAAAGTTAAACATTCACATACTCTGTCAAATAGCAGTTCCACTCCTAGGAATATACGCAACAAATGAAGTGCACATGTATACCAAGGGGCATGTAGGAGAATGTTTATTGCAGCATTGCATGTAATAGCCAAGAACCAGAAATAACCCAAATATCCATTGAGAGCAGAATGGATTAATAAATTGTGGTATAATCACACAATAGAATATTATACAGCAATGAAAATGAGTCGTTATGACTCAAAATGTGAGTTAATCTAAAACATAATGATTGAAATAGAACACAAATTATATATTTTTATATGTGATTCCATTTATATAAAATTCAAAAACTAGCAAAATTAATCTGTGGTGTTAGAATTCAAAATATCAAAATAGCTGTGGCCGAGAATGAGGATAAATACTGATGGTGAGGGTGCAAGTAAGGTTCTTTTTTTTTTTGGTCTCCCAGAGCTATTCTCTTTGGGAGAATTCATTAAATGACATTAATGATGTGTATATTTTCCTATATACAGAAAAAACTTCAATTAAAAAAATTTTTTTAACTGATCTATTTGTTGAAAGGATTATGGGTACTTTTGGGAAGGAGGCAGAGAAAATGATTGGAAAGAGGCATAGGAGAGATATCTTAGGGGTGTTGGCAAAGTTCTGTTCTCAACCACAGGTGTTCATTTGTGACAATTCATAGAGCTGCATATTTGTTTTTTGCACTTTTCATTACCTGTGTTATAGTAAAAATGTTTTTAAAACCAAGAAAATAGTATTTGCACATATATCAAAATTAGGATTTGAAATGTGTGCATACTCTAAGCAAGAATCTAGTATATTTATATTCTTTAATAGCTGCATTGGTTAAAAATACCATAAAACAGTAATTTGCTGTTCTTCAATTCAGGGTGCAGTCCATTTCCCTGGGGCAAGGACAAGGGCCCATTGCTGAAAGAATGATCAAAGATGCAATGAAATCAGGGAACTGGGTGTTTCTGCAAAACTGCCATCTTGCTGTTTCTTGGATGCTGGCAATGGAAGAGCTCATTAAAACCTTCACAGATTCAAGTATGTTGAACAGAGTATTTGTATAATAATATCATATTTTTGTAGACTTTCTTGTTGAATCCAATCCTTGTACTAATCCTTTACTGTAGGCATTGCGTTTCTCCACATTAAAGAGGAGAAATTTGAGACCTAGACAGGTTTAGTAGAGTTTCATAACTCAGATCCCAAAAAAGGTCTTCAGACTCCCAGTTGAAGGTATGAGCCATCTGATCATTTCTGTTTGATGTTGCCTTGGAGGGGACACCATCTGAATTCAAAATAGATTACATATAAGCATGATAAACAGAAATAGAAAAATGGACTTCAGACAAAAAAAAGGAAATAATATCCTTTAACATGAAGTGAGAGAAGTTAAGAACAAATTCGAATTTCCACCAATTTCCTTACAGACTAGTATTTTACCACTTTTCATCCTCTGTAACCCACATGGCAACTAACCTTCACATGTGCCTCACAGCCACACACACCCCATAAGCGTGCCTGACATTATTCACAGCTGCTACCATTCACTGTCATACCACCACTTTCTTTCCCACTCAAGAAAGTGTAATAGGCTATAAAGAGAGAAGTGGAGTTAGAGTTTACTCCTTTTTAAATGTTGGTATAAAAATAAGTGAAACCTTAGGAACTGTGCTCTTGGTAATGCACAGGGTAAGCCCCCATTTGGCATTCTGCCAGGAGGCCATCGGGGAGAACCACCAACCTAGGATATCCAGAGCCCTTTCTCTTGGGTCTTCCACTGTGCCCCGACCTCAGAAAGCTTTCTGGGAAGGTGAGATCTATGCAGCTGGGTCTTGCAAAGGACTTTCCTTCTTGCTGCCTATAAAGGAGAGCAGCTGCTACTTCAGAGTAGCCAGGCGCACTGTTACCCAGCTCCAGGTAGGGCTCAGCAGCCTTCCCCTAAAGGCCCCTCACTTCCTAGTTCCCTGGCTGCTTCCAACAAGGACAAAGAATCAACACACCTACTGTCCAGAATCTCTACTCTTTACATTTTGCAGTACAGTAAGAGATGGCCCACCTGCAGCCGTGCCTGTGGCTCATTGCCATTTAAATATTCCAAGAAAAATTACAACAAGGTCTTCACTATTGTTCAGGCGTCCCTGATGATTAGGATTATACTTAAGAAAAAATGCTAGGGCAAGCATTGAAAAAGCAATTTGCTGCATTGGTACAACATGAGCTTTCGGAGTATGGAGACATCATGCAGGTTCACAGTGACTGGGACAAGAGCAGATGCCAGTTCTTCCAGGACAGGCAATGGAAGCCAGGTGCAGTTTGTGGATTTCAAGTGCTTACAGCTCACTAAAGCTTAAGTGTATAGAAAAACCCTCTTCTGGCCCTTTTTGCAAACATTTATTAACCTAACCATTTGAGTTCTGATATTTAACTTGAACCACTATAAAATAAAATACATTCAGGTAGTAAGCTGAAAAGAAAAAAGTAAATGAAGGGAAAAACAAAAACTCTGGACTTGAAATTCTAAGATCCCAGTAGTGTGCTGCCCTGACCACTTCCTGACTGTGCATATTACATCTCCTCTCTGGGCCTCAGTTACCCCAGCTATAAAATGACTGCATAGCTTCTTTGCTGCAAGTCCCATACTAAGATGATTTCTAAGATTCCATTCTGGCTCTAAACTTCTACGTTGTCTATGAAAGTTAAAGTTCTTGATACTTTTGCAATTATAAGAGAAACAGTACAAAAAACACCTGGCCTTTCTCATCTTTGGTTAGTGAAATCATTAACTCTTAAGACTTAAGTTGATGTTTAACCTCTATGCCTAATAGTTTTTACCATGCCAGCAATTAGTGTTGCCTTAGAATTGTACCAGAACTAACTTTTAATTTTGGCTATTTAACATAGCTCATGAATTTAGATTACCAAACCAAGCACACTCCAGCTTTAATCTGCTTGTCATTCATTCAATAAATAAAAAAACAGAAACCCTGCTGTGTACTACGCAATGTTGTAGATGCTTAGGGCTTCTCTGTGAACAAAACCACCACAGATACCTGCTCTCATAGTGATGTGGGAGGAGTTCTCCTCAGCCTGATTAAGGTCCAGGTTCTCATTTTTGTCATAAGGAAGAATTTCAGAGACAAAGTACAACAGGCCAAGCAGTGAGAAGGTTTTACTCAGAACAAAAGTACACGCTTAGGAGAATAGGAGGAGAGGCACACTTACAGGTTTTAGGGTTTGGGTTTTTATATTGCCTTTTGAATATGGGTTGGTATAAAGCATAACATATGTATGTGATTAATATTTGCTTTGAAGTTTTGTCTGAAGAAGTGGGTCGTCCAGGTGACCATGCTGATGTGTACCTCAGCATTCTTTATTCATCAAAGTGGACATGTTGGTTTGTTTATGCTCCATAGGTCTCTCCTTTGTCCTGGATACAACATTACTTAATTGATTAATGTGACTAGAAGAAGGAAAAACATATTAAAGGTCATATTAAAGAATGAACTAGGCCTTTGTTCATAGACAAAAAATATTTTATAGTGGCATGAAGCTTTTCGCATGTCCCTGTCTCTAAGTAAGGCTTACACGCTAGTGAGGGAAGACAGACAATAAATAACCAAATAATAAGTAAATAACTTACATAGTATGATAAAATGTGGTCAGTGCTTGGAAACAACACAAAGGAGAGAAAGAAGGATCAGAAAGGTCAGGGTGCAGGGAGGAAAGGGAGGAAGGATGGATAGCACTTTTCAATGGTGTGGTCTGGGTAGACCTCTCTGAGAAGGTGACATGTGACCAGGACTTGAGGAAAATGAGGGAATCTGAAGGAAAAGCATTCCAGGCAGAAGGAACAGCTGGTGCGAAGGCCCTAGGGAGGGAGCCAGTCTGGCATGCTGGAGGAACACCATGTGTACTTCAAAACCAATGCCAAAAGCCATCTGAAGATGATGCCAGGTCTTTCTCTGATGAGAACAATGATTTACCCTATTTTGCTTTGGACTTTTGAACCCAGAATGGAACCCTCTGAGGTTCTGTGAGGTTACTTCCTCAGACAGTAAGCGTATTGACTTCCTGATGCTGCTTGTGAGGTCTCCCCATACCCCTGCTCCCTCAGTGCCTCAGCACCTTCTCTCAGAGGAGCAAAATCCCTGTCTTCCCTACAGGGCTTTCTGACTATTTTCATATAGTTTGCCTTAGACTGATTGGTTTAAAACAAACAAAAAACACTTCATCAGCATAAATGCACTGGCAGTAACCAACCTCTTTGATTGAAAATTCTCCACACTTCAGAGGGAAAGCCCTTAACATCTCCATCAAGCACTGAAAACTAACATGTTCCTAATTTCTTTGCTCAAATGTGCCAGCATCTAGACTATCAAACTCTCTTGTGTGAGAATTTTCTGTAAGGATTTCTCCCACTGCTTCCATTTTAGAACATTTTACAACATAACATATTTAAAATAGATAAACTGGTCTTTTTTAGCTGAGTTTACAGCATTTTTTTTGTCATCTTATGATGTGTTTCTTATGCAGAAGTGTTACTAAGATTTAAGCATCTTCTTTTTGCTGTTTTTCTCTTTGTTTTAAACAGATATTGTGATCAAAGACACTTTCCGACTTTTTTTAAGTTCCATGCCTAGTAATACATTTCCTGTTACAGTCCTTCAAAATTCCGTCAAGGTAATGTATGCACATGGTTGGAACAGTACAAATGATCTGCCCCAGAGGCTTCCCTGAGTGGGTCCAGGAAGCTCAGGCCCCATGCAGGACCATGTCAAAGTCTGTGCAGCCAGGGTGGGAGGTGAAAGTCAGTGTCCCTTTACCTAATAGCAAGGAGGGAAACAACTTCCCAAGCCACTGCCCATTCCTGTGTACCCTAGACCTGTTGGTCATTCAACTCTAAGAAAATGTCAGGGATGCAGAGGGGTGAGAATGAGCACCCCCCACTGCCCTACCACGAGAGTTAAGGGAATATTTCAGCATCTGAGAGACTTGCAGGAAGGCCTACAGGTAGTGTGGCTGCTGGACTTCAGTCTGGAAGTTTCTAATACATGGGAAGCTTTTGCATATGAATGACTCCCACAGGGACAAGGGATGCCTCTGCCCTTCCCTGCTCCATGTCACCAAGAATGCCATATATTGGGATGGCTAGAAAATCCAGTGAAGAAGGCCTGAACATACTTTCTGGCCCAACTTTAGGAAAATGGACACTGCGTGGAAGTGTCTAAAGTTTATGGAGATGGTTCACCCACCTTAGATGGTTCACCCATCTTAGGTCTGAGGATCGCACCGGGCCCTACTCCCCAGAGACAGGCTGAGAAAGATACAGAGCAGGTTCAAACATGCCAGAAATGCCCATGGGCATCAGTTACCTTCATCCTTTCAATGGCTTCAGTCTCTAAGTGTTATTCAGAAATAATGCAAGTCAATAAAATCACTCTCCCTCTCACATATGTATCTAAAATCCAGGTAACCAATGAGCCTCCAAAAGGTTTACGTGCAAATATCAGACGAGCATTTACTGAAATGACGCCTTCATTTTTTGAGGAAAATATACTTGGAAGAAAATGGAGACAAATCATATTTGGCATTTGTTTCTTCCATGCAATTATTCAGGTACACTCAATTCTGCTTTCTAATAGAAACAAGAGAGTATAGTATGCTAATAAATAAATAACAAGAATTAAATTAAAGCTTATTACAAATGGCACTGTGAAATGATGGGTGCCCCATCTGTGTCTGAATCCAAGCTGTTTGAACTCAAATCACTGATCTCTGTTCTCCCCTTGCCTCAGTATCTCACAGGTTCACCTCCCAGCTCTACTCTAATCTAAGGAACATGGTCATCTGTATGAATGCAGTAGGTCAAATCCAAAAGCACAGAATGGATCTCCTCAGCTAGGCCTCACTCCCAAAATCTGCTTCCCTTTCACACTCTACTTCTGAAATCAGTGGTCCCATTCTCTCACTCAGCCACAATCAAAACTTCAGGATTATTTTTATCATTCCTTCTTCACATATATACATCACATCCATCATCAAGTCTTCATTTCTCTTGTAATAATTTCATGCTTACCTGTTTCTGTTTGAGTGGACTTATTGCCCTTAACAACATCTTCCCTGTGACTGGAGCTCCAAGTCCCCTGGAAGATGACCTTGAACTTGGCACTATTTCTCCTTCCCTCTGTTCAAACCTCACTGCTGTGGTGTGGTGTCCATTCTGTGGCCTTGTACTTGAATTCAGCCTCTTCGACTACGTATCTCTAGTGGTGTCTTGATTAGACTGGCTGCCAGGTTTCCAATGAGAAAGAACCCAAAAAGAAAAAACAAATATTAAATATCCAAGATGGGGAATAAATAAGTAAACAAGGTCCTAGAGGAGACCTGAGAAGCTGGGATTAGGGGCTCTCTACTAACAGAAGCAGCTGAGATGGTTTAAGATTTAGGGAAATTTTGAGATCAAGAAGTGGGCTTATGGGATCAATCCTCTGGTATGATCATCAGTTTAGAATCATTAAAGAAATTAAGGTGGAATAGGGAGATAACAAAGAGAAGGAAAGACTTCATAATATGAAGTCATCAAACAAGGATTATGATTCCATGGACCCATTTAAAAGAAAAAGATGTCACTGTAGAGAAGTCGGTATGTAGCCAGCACATTATGGCATGATTGAAAAGCCTAGGCCATGGGCAGACTTCCCTGTGGGGTAGTTAGTAGATCTCTCCACCAGGTGGATGATTAGTGTCAGGAATTTTATGCAAAAGACTAGGTGAGGTGTTTTTTTCCTATTTTGATGGGGAAATACTTAATTTTACCATGAAGAACAAATGTTCTTTTGACAGGTCTATCACATTTCCAACAATATCAAATTCTCTTCTGGAAATGCTGGAGAGGGGACAGCACTGGAGGGAGGGCATCAATCCCCTGTTTGGCAAAAGCCACAATGAAAACCTCACTGACGTTCAACTGCGTGACTTTCAGTGATTTTACACAATGAGGATGCCCAACTTCAACAGAAACCTTTCACTTCCAATATTTTACACAAACTTAATTTTATCAAATTTTAATTAAGACCATTTTCATTTTCCGTTCTAGGAGAGAAAAAAATTTGGCCCTCTTGGTTGGAATATCTGCTATGAATTTAATGACAGTGACAGAGAATGTGCTTTGCTGAACCTCAACCTTTACTGTCAAGAAGGAAAGATCCCCTGGGATGCACTGATTTACATTACTGGTCAGTAGGCCACATGGCCAGGGCAACCAGAAGTACACCACCAACAGCTGGCTTCCCCTCACCTGTCCGAACCAAGATGGTGTCCGCCCCCCGTGTTTGATTGTGGTGGTGATGACTTCCGGTAGTCCCTTTATGAAGATAAGACTGTGATAGGAATATTTACACATAGAAAATGGGGCCAATTTGCAGTTTACCCAGATAATAATAGCAAGAACTTACATAGCGCTTGATACACACCAGCACTGTGTTTAGCACTGCCTCTGAATTAAATTGAATCCCCACAGCTACCCTATAAGGTGAAGACTATTATATCCCTATTTTATACATGGGGAGGCCGAGACACACAGTTTAGAAGTGGTGCAGCCAAGATTTAAACCCCAGCTGGCTAGCTTCCAAAATTTATGCTCTTAAATTCAAAAGAATCTTAACATGGATTAACTAGTAGAGACCTGTTGATTCAAGTGTTCCTGTAAAAAAGAAAAAAATATCTCAGGAATTACAATTTTTAGCAGCTATTAATTGTGGCCACATGGGACCAAACTGCCAAAATTAGATCCAATTTGGAATATCTGGGCCCAAGTAACGAAGAAGAGATTTGCACAGGGATGTAGGGGGAGGACAGGGCTCTAAAAAGGGTAGAAGGGAACAATATGAGTTGGTCACAGGGAAGGTAGTATAGCACAGAGAACACAGTTAATGATCGTGCAACATCCTAATACGTTGACAGATAGTGACCGCACTAGAAGGGGTGAGAATTTTGGCATATGGGTACCTGTTGAATCACTGTGTTGTATAATTGAAACCAACATAAGGCTGTCTATCAATGAATGATACTTTAATTTAAAAAAAGAAAGAAAGAGAAAGGGTAGAATGGGAATGGATGATTTTCATTGGTAAGTAAGGGAAATGCATAAGTGAGGTATCAATAGAAAGGCAAATGAAACCTTGTAAACAGAGGTCAGCAAAACGACAGCGAAAATGGAAGAGGACCAATCCCCATGGTGGGCCAGAAGGGGTGGGCCTGGAATCTGGTAGGCTACTTTAACACTCCTGCCCCCAGAAACTCCAGTGTGGACAACATTGCTTAAGGTGGTGATATAGACAGAATTGTTGTCTGGCACCCTCTACTTATCCTGAATTTTCAGCTTCATAGTTTTTCTCTCCTTTCTCCCATTCCTAGAACCCTTGACCTTCCAGGCTACTTTAGTCTCCGCTGGTGTGAAACTGCGTTTTAAAAAGGATAGAAAAGAACAAGTCAAAGATATATCTGCACCCAGCACTTCTATTCAACATTGTACCAGAGGTTCTAGCCAAGGAAATTAGACAAGGAAAAGAAATAAAAAACATCTAAATCACAATGAAAGAAGTAAACTTCTCTTTATTTGGAGATGACATGATCTTTTGTGTAGAAAATCCTAAGGAATTCACAGAAAACAAAACGAAACAACTAGAAGTTTAAAACAGCAGACAAGTTCAGCAGGTTGTGGGATATAAAATCAACATTAGCAAAGAACAATTTTAAAATATTTTGTAATTCCATTAACAGTGACATTGAAAAGAATAAAATACTTAGAAGTAAGTTTAACAAAAGAAGTGCAGACTTGTGCAGTGAGAACTGAAAAACATTGCTAAAAAAAATATTAAAGATAATCTAAATGGAAAAACATGGCATGCTGATGGATTGTAAGACACAATATTGTTAAAATGGCAATACTCCTCAGACTGCTCTATAGCGTTAACACAATCTCTATCAAAATCTCATGTGGCAGGTTTGCAAAAATTGGCGATCTAATCATAAAATTCATATGGAGATGCAAAGGGCCCAAGTAGCAAAAACAATCTAGAGGGAGAAAAAGAATGAAGTCAGAAAGTTACATTTCCCAATTTCAAAACATATACAAAGCTATAATAATCAAGATCATGTGGCAGTAGCATAAGAATAGAAATATTTATAAATGGAACAGAATTGAGAATCCAGAAACAAACCCTTATTTATGGTCAATTGATTTTCAATAAAGGTGTCAAGGCAATTTAATGGGGGAAGCATAATCTTTTCAACAAATGATGCAAGGACAACTGGATATCCATCTGCAAAAGGATGAATCACCATACACAAAATTATCTCACGCTACACACAAAAATTAATTTAAAATGAGTGATAGGCCTAAATGTAAGAGCTATAACTATAACACTCTTAAAAGAAAGTGTAGAAATAAATCTTCATGACCTTGGGTTAGGCAATGACTTCTTAGCTATGATGCCAAAAGCACAAGCAATAAAAGAACAAACAACAAACTGGACTTTATCAACATTTAAAACTTTTTTAACAAACACTGTCAAGAAAGTGAAAAGGCAAGCCACAGACTGAGAGACACTACTTGTAAATCATATATCCAACAAGGCACTTATATTCAAAGTAAAAAAAAAAAAAAAAAAAAAAAAAAAAAAAAAAAAAAAAAAATCTAATTAAAAAATGGGCATAAGACTTGAATAGACATTTCACCAAAGATGACATATAAATGAGAGAAGAGGTGCAATAATTTATAAAACTATAATAAAAGATGAACGTTTGAATAACACCAGTGGGGAGCCTAGACAAGAGAGAGCAAACACAAATACTGAGGATGTTTTATATTTGGGAAGGCATTTGGGACTGGAAGGCAGGGGACTGGGTCTTAAAATTTCCTAGTGTGAGTTGCAGCCATAAGACAGCCTAGTGACAGATCTGGGCTCAAAGTGGCACAGACAAACCACATCTAAGGCCTATCCAGTCTTTACTGGGCCAGGCAGCCCTGGGGGACAGGACAGCCAAAGGGACGCCACCACCCTGGGCTCTGAAGTGAGACCCTCAGAACTCTGATGTGGGGTACGACAGGTGGAGAGCATACATGGTAGACACCCTCCTCCCAAGGTCCCTCTTCTGGGAAGACCAAACCCAAAGACCTGCCTAAAAGTGAGTTATCTACTCAGAGTCAAAAGAAGAGAGTTCCTTGTTCCTCAATTTAATCCAAGAAAAGGGTAACACTCTATCTGGATTGGAAGCACAAAGTCTGATGGTTTATACAGAAGATATTTCTGTTGCTGTTTCCCAAAATGCATATATTTTAGTTTGAAACTTTTTTTATAATAATATACTTTCACCACTGACTAACTGTTACGGTCTTGAGTTCTCCTGGGCATCCTCCTTTCCCAGGCCCCATCTCCCAGGTGGAGCAACTTGAGCTTTACATTCCCAACCAGCCCCAAGGATCCAGAGGAGCGTCAAGTGAGGCCCGGACTAGATGGACCCACCACAAAGACTTAACCCAACCTTGCATCCTAAGACTTCCCAGAGGGTGACAAGAATATTCCTAGGGAGGTACAGCACCATCTCTCCCTTGCCTCTTAGAATTGCTAATACAGGGATTCAGTTACTTAACCATCAGCCCTGGGACCTAATTCCCCTCCCCTTTCCCCGAGTGGCTGATTCAATAAGACTGACGAGGACAGGTATCCCTGTAGGAGGTGCAGGTAAAGACATTGCTATTTTGGAAGAAATAAATTATTGTGATTCCAAAGACAAATAACTTTCTCTCAGGCAACCATCTCATCTTGAAAGAAAATGATCTTCCTGACACAATGGAAGAGCTGGAGACGAGAACAGATGAACAGTTAGAGGATTCAGACGTTGACAATGTCAATATCATAAGTAAAATCCTTCCAGGAACACTAAGTGGTGACTAATGAATTGTAGTAATGGACCAAGGAATTATATCAGCAATAGGGATTAATCCAAGGCAGAACAGGTAGCATCCCTACTTGTAATTTTGGGATGACAAGGGAGCATGCTGAAAGTAGCCTCTGTATAGACAGAGAGACAGAATACCAGTGAGTTTTAGTTCCCATAACATAGTTTCCATGAGGCAAGCTGTCTCTCTCATCTTGGATCTCTTTCCTCCTTCACTTAATATCAATAATTTATAAGGCCTATATAGAGTTTGAATGTCTGTAACTATTTGTGTTCCATTATACTAATTAGCCCCAAAGAGAAGCAGTGTTTCATGGGAAGTGTAAATGTTTTAGAATACTGCAGTGATGGGATAAGACCCCAAATCAGTATATTAAAGCAAAAAAAAGCAGGAAGAAGAAAGAAATATGTAAACAAAGCTCAGTGGCTTTAGTTTTGGTTAATTGGGGAAAGCAAAATAATTGGGTAGGGTACATACACTAGAATTTATTCTGCTTTTTTGAAAACTGACTTTTATTTTCTCTTTGGGGTATAGCACAGGAAAACTCTGATGTGCTGTTTCCACTTTCAGTACCAAATGTGCATATAAACGAACTCACTAAAATTTGGTTATACATATCAATAAAACACAGACAATAATATGTTTCAAAATAATATGTTTTAAAACTCTTTTTCAGGTGAAATTACTTATGGTGGTAGAGTTACAGACACCTGGGATCAAAGATGCCTTCATACTGTCTTGAAAAGATTTTTTTCTCCTGGAACATTAGAAGAGGACTATAAATATTCTGAATCAGGTGAATGACTTTGCAGTATTTTGGAAAAGCCCTTTTCCAAAAAGGCACTGACAGCATCTCCCAGTTTTCTACCCAGGAGCTCTCTGTTTCCAGTCTTCAAAACCCAGTCCCCATGCCCACCCCACTCCTATGGTTGACCACCTTCAAAACTGGTTTGGTAGTAAGAGCACAAAGATACCTATTGTGCAATAACCACTTTGAATTATTTCTGTTCTGAAGTATGTTATATTCCATCCCATTCCATAAAAATAAGAAGCCCTAAGGCACACCTTTCAGCAGCACATCCCGGGATTCTCAGAATCAAAAGGTTCTGGAGGAGACGCCTGAAAGGTTAGGACACTAATCAAATGCTCAAGGCCTCAGGAACAGGTAAAGAAACCAGAGACAGCAATGAAAGCAAGGAGGATGGGAAAAACAATCCCCTTTTCTATAGGAGGCAGCTGATTATAGCCACCCTTGGAACCAGGCAGAGAAGTACCAAACTTGGTGGTACAAAGCTAGTCTATTTCAGACAGACTTGCCTTCTGTTTTTTCAACAACAGGCATCTATTTTGCACCCTTGGCTGACAGCCTACAAGAGTTTAAGAACTACATTGAAAATCTGCCCTTGATAGATGACCCAGAAATATTTGGAATGCATGAAAATGCCAACCTCGTTTTCCAGGTATGTGACCTTTCAACTTAAAATACACATTCATACTGTGTATCTAAACTTGAAACATCAATAATCATCTCACTAGCTCTATAAATTGTTCTTAAACAAACGAAAGAGATTTTTTTCCTCAATGTCAACATGTGGTTCCAGTTTAGCCTGTTCCCTCTGGACTGTTCACAGAATCATGAAATCATCATGCATTTTCCCTGTGGCTGGCCACCCACCTCCATGCACCAGCCTTCTGACTAGTCCACAATCTACCTGCTAGTCCAATTTAACATGGGGATTTGGATGTAACTCAGACAGCCCTTTCTCCTTTGCCCTTCTCCCTCCATGCTGGGCATATCTGTATCATGTTCCACAAAGGTTTTTGGATTCACAGACAACCAGGTCATAAAAGTACTGTAACAAATGTCCAAGGAAGATAAATTAAAACAGCGTTCTTTAAAAGCATGTTTCATCCATATTGCACTACCAGACTATAGCAATAGGTCCAAAGAGCAAACTGAATAATTTTACTCCTCTTAGACCTTCTGGTGGCACACCATGACCCAGGGGTAGTCTAAGCTCCTTAGCATAGCACTCGAGGCTCCCCCACCACCTGGGCACTACATGCCCTTCCAGTTCCACACCCCCCCCCCATGGTCAGGCATCTGTGGGTGAACCAAGGCCATGAAATGAGGTCTGCCCCTGGGGCTCTGGTATACTGTAAAGGTCGGGGACTGTGTTTGGCCTGCAAGGCCAAAGAGAATCCTTTTCCTTTTCAACTTGAACTTTGCCACTTCAAGTGTCAGAGGGTGAGGTCTGTGTAGATATCAACAAATCCATGCAAAACAGTGGAACCCTCCAGATGGCGCCAAGAGGCCAGTGCTCTGACACCTTATGTGTTGTTCTCTGCCATTAAAATTGCTTTGCTGCTTAGTGAGGACTTAGAACAATCTACGTTATTTTTCATTATTCTACTTTAAGGAGGAAAAAAAGGTAGTCAAACCAAGTGTAAATATTCCCTCATAGCTGCCTGTTTACTCTGAGGCGGGTGGTGTGTTAGGGAGGGAAGGGTGGCCATGGTAAGACTTGCTCCATCCTATGAGAAGCTGTGAGAAATGCAGCCCTGTTGTGAGGTAAATCTTGACAGTGCGCACCTGGACGTGTAGATTTTTTTATTTTCCACTGGTTCAGAATGACTGAGAATGACACAGCAGGCACATAGTGAGCTGGTTGCTTTTTCTGTCCAGTTTCCCTTCCTCCATTTTTCTGGCATATGCATATGCCCTACTCCCACCTCTCCTGAGAACAGCTGCCCTTCCTCCTTCCATGAATTTCTGGTAAGACTTCCAAACCACCCCCTTACTTTACATAAGTGGGCATGTGACTCAGGCCTGGCCAAAGCAGCACTCCATCACCCAGCCACTTGAACTGGTCCAGGGAGCAAGCACATGGCCCATGCTGGGTGAATGAAAGTCCTTTCTGAATAGCATAGGTAGATGCCGGGATGGTGGGAGGGCTCTCCCTTTCCCCTAGAATCGCTGGCTAGGATGCTGTTAGTCAGCAGCTGTCTATGGCCTTATCCCTGACATCCCACCCAGTCCTCCCACCACATGAAAGCAGCTCATGTGCCACAGGGAGCAATGAGAATAACAACCAAGCATGGACAGGAGAGAGAACATCAGGTCCGTTCATGCCTCGGATCCATGGAACTCGTGTCCTCTTCTTCTCAGCTCTATAAACCAACAGACTGCTTTACTTTAGGTGGTTAAGGACAGATAATTCTGTGTCTTGTCAACAAGTCTTCACACAAAAGATCTAAGTGATTCCTTCCACAGACCAGCAAACTAGATTTAGAAAACTGGAACTTGACCTGTGCACATCAGTTGGAGATACAAGGAAGAAATCTGCCTCCCAAGAAAATAATGAGCCTAAGTCAAGGGCCATCTGCATAGACTATCAGTGGACAAACAGAGATCTACCATCTCTTTCTCATTAGAATAAATGGAAAGAAAAAAACTAACAGAGACTGAGTAAGTAGGGAAAAAACACTGAAGGATAAGGGACAGGAAACACCGTCTAGAAGATGCACACTCGTCCTCTGCAAAGTACCTGCTGCAGAGACCAGAGAATAAAGAGAATGTTTCAGTATCTGGAATAGATCTTATATAATACTAGATCTTAGACCTAGCCTGTATGAAAGAGAAAGCCAGAATCTGAGAACAGGGTAGCGTGTAAATACAAAAGATGCCATGAGACATGTCAGAATGAAATATCTCAAGTAAACTAAAAATACCACAGCAGAACTAAAACCTACTTTGGAGGCTTGAAAACCAGAACTGGCATATAGAACATCACATATGTGAGGTAGGGGACAAACAATAAGCTTTTCAGAATGGAAATTTTAAATGTCCACAAATAGAAAATGATGAGAGATGTTAATAGATAGGTAAAATAGTACAAGGACATTTAACAAAATAATCAGAAAAAGAAGGAATAGTTTTTTCCTGTTGAAAGAAAAAAGACTGAAGCTATGCCTGGATATATTCTGGCACAACTTTGAGACCACAATGATAAGAAAAAGAGATCTATGTTTTTAGTAGCATCTAGCCCACCCCCTCCCCAGCCGCCCCTCAAAAAGTGCAGATGGGCTAGTATATTCGTTTGGATGCAGTTATGCTGCAGTAAGAGAATTACTCCAAACCCAAGGGCTTAAACCAACAACAATTGCATGGCAGGCTGACAGAGAGGCGGCTCTGCACCACACACTCAGACCCCGGCTAGGAGAGGTCCTACCACACTGTAGCTGCATTAACCACAACAAACAGCCCCTCAGTTCACAGCAGCGTGGGAGGGCGGAGACTCCTCACTGCCTCAGCCTGCACAGTCCACCTGCATGCTCACTCACATTCCCCCAGCCAGAACAGCCCCACGGCCCACCCATTTGCAGGTATGAGGAGGTGTGATTTTGCTATGCCCTAAAGGAGAGGAGAACTGGGAATAGGTGCTCAGCAGAGTGCTCTAAAACAGTTCCTCTCAGAGGAAGTAATGCCAGGCTGGCTGCACTAAATTATTTTAGGACTCTTCCATCCAACCAAGAAATCAAGACAGGAAAGTTGTGATATTAAATGACTGGAACTCAGCAAGGAAACAGAAGTATCTAGTTATAGCATTAACTAAATAACTTCATGTATGTGTTTAAGGCCTAATGAATGTTTCAAAAGAGCTAACAGATGTGACTATATCAAACAGGTCCTAAGAAAATTTAAAGATAAATGACAAAGCAAAACATTCTGAAACAACAACAGTGGAGGAAAAAAACAGAAAAAATTACTACCCACACATGGGACATTTCCCAGAAAAGACCATATATTAGACCATAAACAAGTATCAATAGATATCATACAAAGTATCTCCTCCAACCACAATGGGATAAAGTTAGAAATCAATAAAACTATAGTAATCAAAACAGTGTGGTAGTAAAATACAGACATATAAACCAATAGAGTAGAAGAGAGAGTCCAGAAATAAACCCTTGCATGTACGATCAAATTATTTTTGGCAAGGGTGCCAAAACCATTCAATGGAGAAAGCACAGTCTTTTCAACAAATAGTGCTGGGAAAACTGTATATCCACATACAAAAGAATGAAGTTGGACCCCTACCTAACACCATATACAAAAATTAATTCAAAATGGATCAAAAACCTAAATGTTAAGACCTAAAACAATAAAACTCTTAGAAGAAAATACAGGACAAAAGCTTCACAGCACTGGATTAAGCAGTGATTTCTTGGGTATGACATGGAAGTCACAGGTAACAAAAGAAAGAAACAGACAAATTGAACTTCATGAAAATTTTTTTATTTTGTGCATCAAAAGACACTATTAACAGAGAAAAAAGCAGTTCACACAATAGGAGAAAATATTTGCAAATCACATACCTGATAAGGAGTTAATATCCAGAATATATGAAGGACTCCTAAAACTCAGTAAGAAAAAAAAAACTGATTCAAAAATGGGCAAAGAACTTTAATAGACATTGCGCTGAAGAAGATATACAAATAGCCAATAAGCACATGAAAACATACTCAACATCACTATTCATTAGGTAAATGCAAATCTAAACTACAATGAGATAGCATATCACACCCATTAGATGGCTACTATCAAAATAACAGAAAACAACAAGTGCTGGCAAGGATGTGGAGAAACTGGAACCCTGTGCACTGTTGGTGGAAATGTGAAATGGTAGAGCCATGTGTAAAACAGTATGGTGATTTCTCAAAAAATTAAATGATACAGCAATTCCACTTCTGGGTGGAATTATATACCCAATTATATGCCCAATAGAATTAAAATAAGGTACAGGAACAGATATTTGTATACTTGTGTTCTTACCATCATTATTCACATAGCTAAAACGTGGAAGCAACCCAAGTGTCCATCAGCCGATGAATGGATAAGCAAAAAATTGTATACACACACATACATAAAATAGAATAGTGAAAATTTTCAGTGCTAAAAAGGAAGGAAATTCTGCAATATGCTATAACATGGATGAATCTTGAGGACATGATGCTAAGTGAAATAGGCCAATTTTACCATTTTAAACATTTTTAAGTATACAGTTCAGTGGCATTAAGTACATTCACAATGTTGTTGAACCAAAAAATGTTTCAGTATAAGCACAACAGCTGTGTATTGTGCACCTCCAATGAGCACATTTCACCAGCTCTATCTTCACCATAAAAAGTTAAATTTCCTTGTTTTGACAACTGCCATTATTTCTGTAAGTAAACGACACCTGATGCAAATTATTTTTTGAGAAATTTCAGTCTTCATTGTTCTGTTTCTTCCACTACAGTACAAAGAGACCAATACCTTAATCAATACTATACTTGAGGTTCAGCCAAGATCATCTTCTGGTGGAGGGGGAAAAAGCAATGATGAAATTGTCCAAGAACTGGTTGCTTCTGTCCGGGCCAGAGTTCCAGGTAATAAATCATTCCTGGCATCTGTATATACTACGACTTTGAGGACTAAACCCAGAGAGTGAATGATAAGCAGATGTCCAAATGTGCTTACCAGGTAGACTTTTCTTTACATAGAGAGCTCTTCTGACATGGAGCACTCCACTTGTAGACTAGAAGCCTACACAACCTCAACGTCTCCACTGCCAGAAGCATTAGGAGCAAGTTGGTTTCTAGCCCAATGTATCCAGACTTCTCCTGAGTTTCCTAATATCTCTAGACTATGCTGTCCCAGACAGTAGCCACTTACACTTAAATTAAATTTAACATTTGTTCCCTCAGTTGCACATTTCAAATGCTACCATATTCGACAACACAGATTTTTAAAAATTTCATCATCGTATTATCTTCTCTTAGACAGCCATGCTCTAGAATCCATTTCATTCTTTTCTCCACTCAAGAGAAATGGCCTCATTAATTTTACTTTTTCTGGTGAGTTAAGGAATCTTCCTAAATAATCACAGAGATCTACTTTCACACTTCTATAGAGTGTGTATTTAGATTTTTTAGTCTATTGTAAAAGTAAACTGTGTTTCTCACTACTCACAACACTTCTGACATCGAATGTGTGGGTTTTTCCCTCATGTTAAGCAATTCTCCAACTCTCTGGACACCAACTGTGCATCCTACAATTGAGTTATGACACTAACCACAATTAGCACAGACCCCCCAGGTTAAGGGCTCAGTCCCACAAAACTGCCCCTCACTTCAGATGCTAACCTCAGGTCCCAGCCTGTGACCTGTACTTCTGACCAACTATAAAATGAGGGTTCTCACAATCCCCTTCTTGGCTATAATAGCTTGTTAGAATGGCTCACAGAACTCAGGGAAACACTTACATTTACCAGTTTGTTATAAAGAATGCAAATAAACAACCACATGAAGAGGTACATAGGGTAAGGTCCAGGAGAGTCCCAGGTGCAGAAGCTTGTCCCCCATGGAGACAGGTGAGCCACCCTCCTGACACATGCACGTGTTCACCAACCCAGACACCCTCCAGACCCCTTCAGTTAGGGTTTTTTTCATTACTAGGCATGGCTGACTAAATCGTCCGCATAAGCGATTAACTCAAACTCGAGCCCCTCTCCCCTCCCAGGCAGCCAGAGGGGGGAGCAAAAAGTTCCAACCTTCTAAGGATATGGCTGGTTCCCCTGACCACCAGCCCCCACACAGCCTTAGGGGCCTGCCAGAAGTCACCTAGCAACATAAATTAGGTTTATGTTGTGAATAACAAAAAATGCTCCTTTGACCTTTCTCTCTCAGGACTTATTTCAGGAGCCAGGGTCAAAAGCTAATTATTATAAGAAATCATGTCCCTATCATTTTTCTTGGGAAACAAGGTTTTTAGGAACCCTGGCCAAAAGCCAGGGACAAAGACCAAAACATGTTTCTTATTACATCACAGTATCACAGACCGAGTCTTGCCAATACTCTTAAGATCTCCCAGAAGAGAAGGGTCTGTGTGACCTCAGAAGCCAGTTATCTGCCTCCTATAACAGGTCTCACAAGAATGTCTACTTGAGTAGAGAGTTCTGTTATGTTGAAGCAAACTGAGTCAATTATTTTAGGAAACAATTTCTAATAAATGTAAGATGGAGGGTGGTAGAAAGGGTCACAGACAGTGGCTGGAGAGATAGTGTACCTGTTTCACAGAGTTCCACTGACCCAGGGGGCCGGAGGTGGGGGTTCTCTCCAAGCATGACACAGCCTATATTTTCCCTGTGAAATGCTAAGCAATGTCATCTGCTGAGACTGAGGGGGCAGTAATGCAATTGGCTCAACAAAAGAACTGAAGGTTTGGAAGAGTCCCTGAATGATAGATTCCAGGGACAGGTACCCACAACACTGTGGCTGGCCCCAAGAGATCAGACCAACACACACTGCCCAGTGATTTCTCCCCAGCAGCCAAAATGTGAGTGTTAAGAAGGAATTTGGTATACATATTTCAGAGCCACTCATTTCTTCACACATTACTCAGATATACAAGAAAAACACAGTTCCTTCATTTTTATAGCTGACTGAGCCTCCATTTGATGGATTGTAGGGAAAAAGAAGGGCAAAATTGTCAATCCCGCTTGAATCATAGGCCTATTTAATAATTTAGTCAGTCCCTTTTAATATGCTCAGTAATTTGAGATAAATGCTAAGTCTCATCTCTCAGCCTCCTGCCCCAACCCTGCCTCACCTAGCTGCAAGGCAGGAAGAGCGAGGCTTACACACCTGCATGGCAGAGGGGAAGACTCAGGGGCCCTGACACCTCAGGTCCCAGGATGGCCCTTGTCTACCAGGTAGCTGCTTATCCTGCTAGCCTTTGCCCCTGAAGTCTGCATGGCCTGACTCCCATTCAGCCTAGGCCCAGGTGCAAGAAGTTGGCTTTCAGAAAGGTCAAATGCATTACAATGGCAATGTTATTAAGATAGAAGTCAATGCTAATCGATCTGAGGAATCAGCTGTGTGTGTTTCAGAAACACTAGAGATGGAGAGCGCATCTGAGAGCCTTTTCAACAGAGATCCTCAAGGACGCCTCAACTCCTTGACCACCGTTCTTGGACAAGAAGTGGACCGGTTTAACAGTCTGCTGAAGTTAACACATGTATGAGAGCTCGCCGCCACCACTGCTATGGGGTCAAAGCTTTGTGGAGAACTGCAGAATATGAATTCTCCATGCCCATCACTTCAACATTTCCATTTGGATATGCTAACAGCATGTCAAACTGAGCCTGTCTGATCGAATTTATCCCCCTCTAACAAATCCGTGTTCTCTGAAAATGGCTTAGTCCATATGTGACATTACAAACCCTCAGGCTACTCACTATCCTTATACCGTTAGAATCCCCACTCACTAGAAATTTGATCAGGGGCTTAAGCACCCAGTCAAAAGATTCAGTGCCTAATCCTATGTCTAGCTTGCATTTAGGAACATAGTCTTTATGAAGGCTATGAAAAACAGAGCTTCCCAGAATGTGGGCCACCACAAATGCCATCCCCACATGGTGGTAAAACCTGTGAAGGACAGCAACCCCTCCCTGTTCTTTCAGACTTCTCTAGAAACACTCAACAAAGCCATTGCTGGACTTGTGGTGATGTCAGAAGAAATGGAAAAGGTGTATAACAGTTTCCTCAACAACCAGGTTCCCTCTCTGTGGTCCAACGCAGCCTACCCATCCCTGAAGCCACTGGGATCATGGGTCAAAGACCTTATCCTGAGGACGGCATTTGTGGACGTAAGAAAATTCACTTTAGGGTTTGACAAACCTGGCCACATGGTAGGCCCTAAGGTCCTTAGGAAGCCCCAGGGAACTGAACTATCCACAACCGCTGAGGGATTGTCTCTGCCCAAAGAAACAGAACCTCCCAGAATGCCATCAACTTGAAAGTCTTATGCTGATTATAACATAGTTTGCCCATATCCCCACATCCATTCTACTTCCAGCCCATCCTTGGAGTTTTGATCTAGTTCACGGGACCCACTGTGAGGGGCAGAACCAATCTGACCGGGTCCAGCTGCCATGTGTGACCTGGCCACCATCCCTCTCCCTCCACCCTCTGCATAACCAAGTTCTGGATTTATGGTCAGGCTGGGGAGTGACAAAGGGGCTGGTCACTAACTCAGGACTGGTTTTGATTCTGGCTCCTGAGAGGCCCTCCAAAACATGACTTCAATTTAAATGAAACTCCATTTCAAAAAAATACCACATTATGGTATAATGTTTCTCCTTTAGTTGTGGCTCAGAAGAGGCCAGCCGAAGTCCTTCTGGATCTCCGGTTTCTTCTTTCCACAAGGATTTCTAACAGGTAACGGTGGCTTCCCCAGAAAAATCCCACAGGAAAGATCATGATTTGTTCCACACTGGGTTTCTAGGATCTGGAGAAAAGACACAGCTGCTAATGGCCTATCCAGGGGCCTACTGATTCTAGAGCACATCCAGGGGAAAAGACAGCAGAAACAGCAGATGTTCCCCAGCAATCTAATCCCTGCCCCCCTCGGGTTATGCAAATGCCAGCACTGCTGCCCCTGTGGATGCAGAACGTGCCCCAGTTCCCGAGTTGACTGGTGCTCCAGGCCATACTTGCGCTCCACCAGCTCAGGCCCCAACTCTGAGCAGCTTCCTTCCCCCAAGAAATACTCATGTCCTTCCATCAGCCCTCAAGGATTCCAACTAGGGAGTCCCTGACGAGGCCAGAGCCTCTGGACTACTAGGTGCTAATTATAATTGGCCCAGCACTTAATCTGTCTCATTCTGAATCCCTAATAAGCAGCCCATACAAGACAAACTGAGCAAGATTCTAAAGTCAAGGAGCCTGGGCTCTGAAACTCCCTCGCTGGCCTGTCTCCCTCGCTGGCAGAGCAGCACACTTCAGACTTGGCCTTCTTTTCCCAACTATGACCAAAACTCGTGCATGCCTTGGCTGCACTTCTCCAACATCACCACAGGCTTTAGGAACTAATTCCGAATAAAGTGTTAATGGTTGGGTCTTCTCGATGAGAGGAAGCTCTGTAATGCTAGAGCAGCCTGGCTGAGGCAAGTGGAGGCCACATTTGAGCAGCAGCAGTGTTATTTGGAGGACTCAGCTTTCTGGTTCTCATATTTACAGGAACTCTTCAAAATCATGCTCGGAAATACAACTTGCCTATAGATGAGCTAAATTTCAAGTACAACATAATTCCTACCTATCGGGATCAAGCCGCAGTCACAGAAGCTGCCAAGACAGTGCAGTTTGGACAAGAACTGCCCATGGACGTAGAGGTACTGTCCCCCTGACTGTTACAGCAAAGCAGCTGCGGTCCTGCTGTCATTCAGTAACTCAGCCAACCCTCACCCCCCACTCCCTGCTGCCTCCCACAGGTGGAGCAGGGGGAAGATGGATGGGCCTCACACCTCCTAGACAAACTCCCCAACTAGCAAAGACTAGATTGGTACAGCCTTACAAATTAGTCTGATTTGTAGAAATATTTGTTAAAGCAATACTGTTTTATTTCTTTAGATAGTATAGTAACTTTCTGCTTCTTGTGAAAGCAATACAGCAGATTAAAAACAAGTGTTTCACAATCAAACAGGCCTGAGTGTAAGTCCTGCCTCACCTGCTTGCCAGCTGTGTGAGCCAGAGCAATAACTAACACATCTGGACCTCAGGGTTCTCATCTGTAAAATGGGGCCGATACCACCAACCCGGGTAAATGCAGCTGCCCTGGCACATGACCAGCATGCAGTGCGCCCATGGCAACTATTATTACAGGCTGAGTTTACCCACCATTCATTCAGCTGCCTTCCAGTGGAGTTAACAGGCTAACTTCATACACTATGTAACCAGAAATACATTCCACAACTAATAGGAATGCACTAAGGAAGCAATGTAAACTCCCTGCCACGGTTTACTCCCTGTACAGCAAAAGCACTCCTGGTGTGGCCCCCATACCAGCAGCATCAGCATCAGCTGGGAACTTACTAGACATGCATTCCAGACCTACTGGGACTAAAAATCTGTGTTTTAACAAGTCCAAAACAGGGTTCTTAACCCACTAAAGCTTGAGAACCACTGCTCTAGAGTATCAGTGATTCTCAACTTTGACTGCAGGTTAGAATCACCTGTAGAGCTTCTAAAAAAATCCCACTGCTCAGGCCTCAACCCAATTACATCAGAAACACCCCAGTTACATAAGGCATCACTATCTTTCAAAGCACCCCTGGTGATTCCAGTATACAGCCAGGAATGAGAACAGCCACTGCTTACCTGAGCTGCCCAGCTTCCATGTGCTATGATACCAATGGGTTTAAAAACAAGGGATTCAGAATCAAGTGGGCCTGAGGCTGAGGGAACCTCTGCCTGAGCACCTGCCCACCCCAGTGAGCCTTATATTATTTTGTGTGTGTGCCATGAAATCAAAGATCTGCTCCAGATTGCTTTTGCCAAGGAAGTGTTCACTATACAATCAGCATAGTTGGGGTGAGTGACTTTTACTAAACTTAAAATATCATGGTATTAGTTAAGATGATTCTATCAGTATCTGCCCCACTCAGAGCTGATTGATCAGCAAAATTCCACTCTGATTAGCAAAAATTTACAAAGACCAGATTGGTCCCATATTCATGGCTTATTCTAATAAATGCCATATGATATCCTGTGCCTTTTAATGGCCTGTATCTTAAAATAACAATTAAAAAGCTACATATTTAAGGAAATTTGTTTTAACGTCAAAATATTTTTTAAAGTAAGGGGTAAATTAATTTAGAGATGCACTCCTTGTTATTTTGAGACCCTTCTTAACCAGGAGTGTCCCAGGCCCGTATCAGGAACAACAGAGACTACAGGAGGGCAGAATAGCACCAACACACAAGTCTTCACCGAGGCCTTCCAGGATGCTGGCCCTGCTCTGTGCCTGGCACACTTTGTGCCACATAGGCTGACTCGGACAGACAGAGTTTACAATGACCGTGGGGGCCTCTGTCCCTCCACGCTGCCCCAATCCACACCCAGCTCCATGCGGGTCATGTGCACTAAGCCAGGGTGACGCCTTAGCAACTCTGCTTTCTGTGCAGACCAGAGACCGTATAGCTGCCTGTCTCCTCATCCTCCCTGCAAATGTCTGCAAGAGACTGGTTAGGCAGCTTTAGCTCTGTTACAAACCAACAGGGCCACTGTTAGCCCATGGCCACTTTTCTGCAGGTTAGACAGTTTATATATGCTCCCTCTGGGTGGGTGTCCAGATGGACATGAGCCAGGGCTTGGCAAGCAGACAGCAGGGTGGTTTTCAGCCTCTGCTCAGGCAAAGCTGCCCAAGCGAACCCAGCAGCCCCCAGGGCACAGGAAGGCCCACCCCCCACTGCCATACCAAGGGATGGAACGTCAGGACCAAAAAGTAAAGACCTGCCAAAAAGAGCTTACCATCCTTTACTTACTATAAAATGCACTATGTACGTCCACACTGCTTGATCCTCTGCCTGCAGGTGTGAAGCTCCAATTATCCAAAGGACAACTGGCCCCAGAACTGGCCAAATTCCCTCAGTGTTTGAGGATGAGTGACACAGAAGCCCACGATTGGCAGAAATTGTACACCAGTGGTGACAGCCAGTCACAGGACACTGAAGGGCAAGGTGTCCCTTCTCCTCCCACCCCTCCAGAATAGAAACATTAAAAATCAAGCATAATTTCTATTCAAAGAAAAGGAACTTTCTTTACAGAAGCACTCTACAAATATTACTGCAGATATATAATCTATCTTTAGGAGGGCACCCAGATCCTTGAAAGACCTTGATAAAGATAACAGGATAATAGCCCTCTTACACCATCTGCTTCCCATGAGAAGGAGAAAGTCATCACACCATGATATCCAGTCATCTTAAGCCCACTAACAGGTTTCCCAGGGATATCCCCTATTAGACATCCTGGCAGAAAGTGAGAAGTATGAGATTTGGTGTCAAACAAGAAGCAAGTTATTTTACCTTTCAGAGGCTTAGTGTTCTCATCTCTAAAACATGAGTATTGAGTGAGTAGTAACAGCAATGGAGAGAGTGGGCCTCAGAATGAATGGGCGAGGATGTGGGACACAGGAGGTGGCCCACAGCTGCAGATTCCCTTCTCACCTTTAAACTCCTGGGTGTCGTTCAGTTGCCCTCTCCTGAGGATGGCGTTCTTGTTCACGGAATGTTCATGGATGCTTCTCGATGGGACGATAAGGAGATGGTGATGGAAGATGCACTGCCTGGACAGATGAATCCAGCGCTGCCTGTGGTGCACTTTGAACCACAACAAAATTATGAGCCAAGCCCAGCACTTTACCACGCCCCACTGTATAAAACAGGGGCCCGGGCAGGGACACTCTCAACCACAGGTAAGGATGTTCTGAGACTGGCACAAATAATAACAAAATGTAAACTACAAAGTCCAAACACTAAGCTATAATGTGCAAGGGGAAATCTTGGGCCAGTCAGCTAGGCTCAAAATGAGGCCACTTATGGCATACATATTTATAAATGTTGTAAATCCTATTTCTTTTAATACTGAAAGTGGATTGATATTATAAAACTAATGTTTGCTTTCTGTTAGTCTAATGAGTAGAAAATAGAGTTTACTAAGCAGTAACTTATTTCAAAATGACAGACTGAGTAAACACTAAAATCTCTCACCCAATCCACTGAGATTCATCATTGAAAAAAGACTTAAAAATAAACTAATAAATGGAATGCCAAGCTGCAGAAAGGGAAATCTGTGTGGGCCTGGACCTGAGGTACAGCTCTAAAAAAAAAAGCAGATAGAAAGCTATTCAACAGGTAAGCTGAAGAACTGAATGTAGACAGAAAAGAGTGAGCAAAGAGAATAAGCTAAGGAAACCCCTCAGAATACAGCACAATGCAATTTTATACTTTTAAAAAGTGACACTGCAGAAAAAAACAAATTTCCCAATATTTATCTGGTAAGCAATCTGGAAGTTGAGAAAGTAGAATGAAAGAGGGATAATATTTCAAAAAGTAATTGCCGATGGTTTCGCTGAATGGAAGGAACATTTCACTCCTCAGAGTAAGAGCCCCACAAAGTGGTAGAGATGATTTTTTAGAACATAAAGCAGCAAACAGATTTTAAAAGAAACAGAGATATATGAAAGCGATACTAAAGGTGATCAGAGATAAAAAAAATCCTCAAAGCAAAGAGGTAAAATGTATTCATATGCTAGAACTAAAATTCTGGAGAATGAGAATCAGGTTGACATCAGACATCTCTCCTTATCCTAGTGCATATAAAAAGGTAATAGAAGAACATCTGCAAAGGACTGAGGAAAAATAACTTTGAACCAGAACTGCAAATAAAACTAGATCAGATCATCATCCAAAAGGAAAGGTGTCATAGAGACAGTTTGGGACATACGACGCCTATATCTAAACTAGTCACCAGCAACCCTCTATTTAAAAACACATACACACAGTTAAATCTTTAACAGTTTGACCATAAAAATTATTTTAATAATAATATGGAACTAAATTTCCAGATATCAGAAATATAGGAAAGGGGTCAAGGGCAGAAAGAACTAAGCAGCTTTTCTCATTTCAATGCAGAATACAAATGCTGATTATAAGTATCATCAAATATTTTTTTCTAATAAAATCTTCAGTAAAAGTATGTTCTCTAAGGGTAACATACAGAAGAGAACTAAAACTGACATTTCTGTTACATGCCTTGACCTCCCATTCCTATGACAAATCTAAAAAGGTATTTTTTAGATTAATAATGGCATGTATAAGTTTCTGTGTGGACATGTGCTTTTATTTATCTTGGATAAAAATCAAGGAGTGGAAGGACTGGATCATGTGGTAGGTATTCATTTAAACTGTTTTCCAAAATGACTGTACCAATTAACATTCCCACCAGCAGTGTATGAGGGTTCCAATTCCTCCAAATCTTCACCAACACTTAGTATGATCAGTCCTTTCATTTTAGATGACAGATTTAATATAGTGGTATCTCCCTGCATTTGCACTTCCCTAACCACTAATGACATTCCCATCTTTTCTGATGTTTATTTATATCTTACCTGATGAAGTGTCTGTTCAAATCTTTTTCCCATCTTTTAATAGAGCCATTTGTCTACTTATTATTTGATAAAAACACAAAACAAAACTGGAACTTTTTTTGGCAAGAGGAACCAAGAAAAGGTAGTAATTAAAATTATGTGGCACTCAACAAGACTCAACAAATAGAATGAATGCACTGAATAGACAGCCCAAAACACACTGTGCATATGTAGGAATTCAACCCACGATAGCAGCATCATTCAAAATTGGTCCACAAATGGTGCTGCGACAACTGGTCATACCAGCTTAGATCCTTATCTCACACCACATACAAAAATTAAATCACAAGTGAATTCTATAGAGTTGATCATCACTAAATTTTAAAATTATTAACACTGATGAAATAATGGCTCTAAGTAATAACATCAGCAGTGATAACATCACAACAAAGAAAGGCAACCAGATATAAGGTGTGTCCTGATAGAAGTACACACCACCTATGAAGTATTCTTACCAAAAAAACTCAATTCTGGATGTGATCATGCCTCTGGATCTAACCACCCATTACAGGGACAGAGGCACATGTTTAAAATCATACAGGGATGCTGTTGGCAAAATTCAGACTCTGGGAAACTTTACAGACAAATAGCCTGGTTGTTTCAACAAATATATTACAAGGGGGTGGTGAAAGGAAGAGAAGGGGAACCTTCCTACTCTTTCAATTGGAAATTTTAAGAGACACATCACTGTTGCAAGGTGTGGACTTCGTTTGAATCCTGAATGAAGCTAACTGTTATGTGGATGGATGGATGGATGGATGGATGGATGGATGGATGGATGGATGGATGGATATAAATAGATAGATGATTAGATAGATAGATAGATAGATAGATAGATAGATAGATAGATAGATGATAGATAGATAGATAGATAGATAGATAGATAGATAGATAGATAGAGAGACAGATAGATAGATAGATAGATAGATATGGATACATGATATAGATAGATGATAGATAGGTGATAGATGATAGATGATAGATAGATATAGATATAGATATAGATATAGATATAGATATAGATATAGCAGATGTACTATAAAATGTCACTCAAGCACATGGCAAGGCCCCATGCAAGGAATGGCATACACAGGTGACAAAAGGTGAGGGACAGGCATTCTAGCATTCTCTGCCAGGGCACCACCACATTCCCCAACTTCTACCCAGATGGGGTTTGCTATAAATATAGTGCCGGAAATAGCAACTCCTGTTTTGAGGGCAGAACCCTTCTTCTCACCCTGGGCCCCATCACACAGGCCCACAATGAGGAAACTGCAGAAGTGACCTCTGCACATGTCCCAGGGCTGAGGACAAAACACTTGTGATTACACTTAGTCATCTCAGGAGCCCCGGGTGCCTAACTGCAGGGTGGAACAAAGAATAGATGGACAGATGGACAGACAGATGGACAAATGATGGACACCCACCCTACCAACTACATCCTATGAATCCCACTAAAAGCTCAGGCTTGAATCCTAGTCCAATGTTCTCCCAGTCAGACTGCAGAGAATTTGAAACATAGTCTGTAAAGTTATACAAAGTCTTAAATGGACAGGTCCTAAAGAATTATTTGTTCTAACATCTTCATTATATAGAGCATAAATTCATTAAAGACTATTTGCTGATCATCTTTAGAGGCAAAGTCAGGTCTGGAACCCATATGTCTTTTTGTATCAAGGGGTTGTTCTTTAACTAATGACCCTTTTTACCCTGTATCCTTAACTAGGTCATTCAACCAACTTTGTGGTGACCATCCTGTTACCCTCCAAGCGGTCCAAAGATTACTGGATTGCCAAGGGGTCAGCTTTGCTCTGCCAGCTAAATGAGTGAAAAGGTGCCACCTCTGTGCTGAGGAAGAACCAGGCCAGAGATCTTTCCTGATGGAGAAAAGAAGTCTGCATAACTTTCATGTGAGCAGAACAGTGTTACTTCTGATCTGACTTAGAGGTATAAATGTGGCTTTTCTCTTATAACCTAAAATAAAGTATGTGGTTTCTCTTTCTATTGGTAATTCAAGCTCTGATACGAAAATGGGGTTCCACACTCACCTCTTAAGCCTGCTCCCTACCCCCATGAGAGTCAGGCAGCTTCCCATGTAACTTGTTTGGGGTGGGGTGGGGGATGGTTCTGGGCAGAGTCAGAACTCAGCACTTCCCTCCTCTTCACACTAATATGAAAGGCCTGGTGTACACCAGTCACATGGCCCTAGGTGCTTCCATTTCTAGAGCAGATTAAGGCTCAGAGCCCAGCACATGGAAAGTTGATGAGCAAATGAGATGGATAACAAGATCTTGGCCCATGGTGCCAGTTCCTCCACTCTGTGGGGCCATATTACAGTCCTTGAGAAGAGCCTGCTGGCTTTCACAGAAGTGAAGGTCAGTCCTGCCCCAGAGCAGAGGAGTTTTCCCCTTCCACTTTGTGATGAGCTTCTGTGAAAACTGGCCAGGTCCCACCCAGGTACACTTGAAACCCTGGCACCTCATTGCTGGGCCAGTGCTCAGATGGAGCAGTCACCAGGCCAAACCATCTTGTGTCAGCCTTGCCAACAGGGTCTGTTTGCTTCCTCAGTCCTAACATGGGCCAAGAAACAGAACCACCTGCTAGAATGTGGGCCTCTGGAGAAAGCCACACCACCCCCTTAGGAAAAGTTGGAAGAACAGGGTCAACTATACTAATCCTACCCTCTCACTCCCACCTCACCTCCACCTCCCCATCCTCATCCCATACCTACACAGACTCAAGTTGCAGAGAAGCAGGGAGTACCACGTCTGTCAGTCAGAGTTCAGAGCAGGAATCTGAAACTATCCATGGTGCTTCAAGCAGGAGCAGGAGCTTACTAAGCCATGGGAATGGCTGGGGCTGCAGAATTCAGAGGGTGGACATTAGGTACTACAGCAGCTGTGGTCCAAGGTCAGAGAGCTGCCTGAAACCGTGCCAGCTCCCCAGCTACACCACACTTGTGAAGCAAGTGACTAGACAATGGGCTGCAGAGCTTGGCCACTATACAAGCATGTGTCTGCTGGAGCCTGCACATACTTGCCCTCACTACTGAAGACAGAGGTCCTCTGCCCCACCACCTTCCAGATCTCACATGACTGTACCGCTTGAGGAGAATCACAATTATAGCCACAAGGGGATCTGGGAAAGTTTAACCCACCTACCCCTGTGATACAGGGAGTGCAGAATGGAACAAAGTGGTGGACATGGATCCTGCATGCCAGCACACTATTCTTTCAAATATCATGTGGACCCTGGAAATGACTGAGAATAAACCTACAAGAAGTCTCTGGAAAGGAAGGGAAAGCCACAGAGCTGCAAGCCCAGGCAATGAAGCTTACCCTAAACCAGATAACAAACACATCTACTTCTTATTGGCCCCATCCAGGTTTTTGTGAGCTGCTCAGAGGCCCAGGAGAGGCATAAGGAAGCCTTGCCACAGGAGGAAGACAAGGGTTGGAACCATGGGGGAAGCCGGGGGGAAGGGTGGCGTCGTTGAGATTTTTTTAGGTTATGAAGCTAATCCATTCTATTCTTACTGTAGAAAACATGGAGATATAGATCAGTGTCACTATGATCACCAAGGAGAGATCCTACAGACACAAATGCGTACATGGGCTCAGACACAGGCTTCAGGATCCCTAGCATGGAACAGGTGGCTGTTTCCTTGCATGGAACAAAAAACCTCCCGCTGCTGAACACACCCTAAGCCATCCTGCAGCTTCTGGGCTGGCCTAAGATTCCCATCACAGGGCTAGGTTCCAGGCTAGCATGTTATGGTCCATCTGAATTCCCAAGGGTTAGCTAAACCTCTAATTACTCATGAAGGCTAGACCCATGGTCAATGTGGTCACAATACAGGACTGTCTTATTGTGCTGACAAACTGTTGGTCCCCTGCCTGCATTTCACAGTCTACTTACTCCATGGAGTTCTCCAAGAAACTTTGAGGTTGGCATGGCCTCTCTCCTGGGCACACACTCACAAGAGAACTTGTGGTATCTAGGAAAGAGCCCAAGCTTGAAACCCTGGGCAAGATAATTAGCCTTTCTGAGCCTCTGCTGCTTCTAAAGTTGACATATCTCACCTGGTTGCTTTGAGTACAACAGCCCATGCTTCCCACAAGGCTGAGCACACAGTCTGCATTTCATGTGCATTCCCTTTCTCCCCGTTCCTCTATCGGGATAAGTGACACTGTATGTACCCCAGCAGGGTGGACCAGAACCTTGGAGCATCCCACTGTGTAGTCAAAGGGACATTCACCAGATCTTCATTGGTTTCTGTGGTAGGCAGAATAATGACCTCAACAGATGTCCATGTCCTGTGAATGTGTTGGAACCTGTGAATATGTTGCCTTACATGTAAAAGGGATTTTGTATTTAGGATTAAGGACCTTAAGATGGGGTATTATCCCAAACTATCAGGGTGGGCCCAATCTAATCCCATGGGTCCTTAAATCCAGAAAACCTTTCTGTGGTCAGTGGGAGATGTGTCTACAGAAGAATGGTCATAGAGATGCAACATTACTGGCTTTGAAGATGGAGGATGGGGCCATAAGCTGAGAAATGTGAGGAAGCTTCTGGAAAACATGGAAAAGGAGAGTAAACAGACTCTCTCCTAGGGCCTCCAGAAGGGAATGCATGAGACCTGCGTCAGACTTAGGAGATACATAATGGATAGTCGGTGTTGTGGGAAGTCACTGAGTTTATGGTAAGTTGTCATGGCAGGAAAAAAAAAACTAATACTGCATCCCATTATCCTGGGAAGATGTTGGGGGAATGGAGGCCAGCTAAACCTTCAGGATCAGCCCAACAGGATCCCCATCCCTTCTTCTTCTCTGCCCAGGAAGGCAGCTTCATTATGAGGAGCATTTCCTGTGTGTGCCGGCCTGCTGACAAGTGGACGGCAGTGGCTGCCAGGTGCCCTCCCTTCACCCCAGCATAAGCCCCATCTCTGTCTTCCCAATACTGGCTTACCCCAAAACCCAAGGGCTGGTGGGCCTGCAGAAAGCTAGGTCACAGTTGGCTGCTGCCCCACCCATACCAGCCTGCCCCAGATTCAAGTTCCATGTGATCAGAATCATCCCTGAAGGTTATTGCATAGCTGCTGAGAAGGGGAAGAAACAAGCAGGTATCTCTACAGCTACTGCCCTGGTTCGTGGCAACCCCTGTGCTGTAGGCATTTCTTCCCCTCTGGGCCCTTAGACCTCTCCCTGCACAGGAGCTCCTTTGAGGACTTATGCTCCCTCATGGCCTCCCCTAGGCGCCCTGCAGGCGAGCTCACCTCTGAGAACTCTTAGGCACTTCCCCAATGGAGCCCATAGTGTGTGCCAGGTATCAGGGCAGCTACTGCAGAAGCACACCCCAGACTCCTTGGGCTCACGCAAGCAGGTGAAGCCAGGCTGGAGCAGTGAGGAAGATGTGGCATTCGTGAGGGATTTCACAGATCCTGACAGAATCCACGATGAGGGCAAGGAATGAATCCCTGGCAGAGGAAACTGCGTGAACAAAGACGAAGTGACCAGGAAGTAAAAAGCGGGAGGAGGAAGAGCAGAAAGAGTAGGGTTGTGCAAGCAGAGGGGTCCCAGCTGTATTCTGCCTCTGTTTAGCTATGTGACCTTCAGTTTCTTCATCAATAAAGGAGAAGAAACACCCACCTCACAGGCTGGTTTTGAGGATTGACTGGGAGTCCATACGAGCCGGGCTACCACCTGACCATCAGTCACTGCATGTTCTTTTCCTCCCCTGGAAGTGCGGGCAGCACTGGTTCTCAGCCCCACTGTGTACCAGAGTCTCATGGAGAGGGTTTTTAAATATTAATTCCTGACCTCTCTTCCCCCAGGAGCAGATTTGAGGGTTGGAGGCAGAATCAGGGAACCTGGAACAAGTGCGTGTACACACACACACACTCCCCAGACAGGGTCCTCTCCACACCCCCAAAGTGTGCCAAACTCCAGCCCAGGGCCAGGACTAAGAAGGGACTCGGGCCCAGCCCACCCTGCCTTCCAGGAGCACACAGTCCCCCCAAAACAAGCAGAGAAGCACTAGGGGCTGGGCTCTGTCCCCACAGCTGCAGGAGAACAGGACGGGGAGACAGATGGAGACCTGAGCAGTCAGCAGGGCTGACCTAAGGAGGAGCAGGTTTTGCCCAGCCAGGGGGAGGAGGAGAGGGCACTTCAGACTGGGGAAAGAGCTTAGCAGGGGTGGGGGGAAGCATCAAAGACAGGAGGTCTTCTGACCCAGGAAGCGTATGGGTGCTGGAACAAGGCAGAGTCTGAGTGCCAAATGTCAGCATGAAGAAACTGGACTTGGGGAGAACAATGAGAAATCAGTGAAGACTTCTGAGCAAGGGACACTTGCAATATTAGTCCCACCAAAAGAATGGGCCCAGAGGACAATGGCTGTGGGAGTGGAGAAGAGGGCAAATCCGAATGAGGCTTTAATGGAGGAAACGAGAGGCCTGGTGAAGCTGAACATGAGAGGTCTCAGGTGAAGGCTTTTGTAAACTAGAAAGTGCCAGGTGGAGAACTTGGGTGTGAAGAGAGGTACGCAGTGTATACCAGGATGTATCCAAGGCTTCCCACCGAGAGGGAGACGAGAATCATGGCTCTTGGGATGGAGGCTGAGCCGCTGGGGCAGGAACCTCTGGAGGGAGGGGTAGGCAGAGGGCTTGGCTTGAGGTGACATGAGGGGAAGGTGGGTCTTCTGAGGAGAGTGGAAGAAAGGATAGCTGGACCCCCTCCATCCCCCCACAGAGAGGCCAGGCATTTCTTCCTGGATTCCCCCACTGCATCTGAGACCTCTGCCAGGAGAGAGGGCTGCTGGCCATGATCTGGAGGGAATGGGGCAGGAGGAACAAGTGTTCTGGGCTGAACTGTGTTCCCAAAATTCATATGTTGAAGCCTATTCACCCAGTTCCTCAGAATGTGATTGTACATGTAGACAGGGCCTTTAGAGGCAGTTAAGTTAAAATGAAGC